CGACAACGACAACGACAACGACAACGACAACGACAACGACAACGACAACGACAACGACAACGACAACGACAACAACAATAATAATAATCATATAAAATGTTTACTTATCTCAGCACATTAATACCTAAGTAAAAATAAATATAAGCTATACCAGTGTTTAGTAACAACAATAGTGGTGTGAGATATAAAGGTCTGTAGCTCAGCACAATGGCGGAGTGTTTCACAACCCCGCTAATATTCTGCTACAGTCTGCCATGTTCATAAAAAGGAGAAGAACTAACACACATTATAATTCTAGTTCTAAGATTTGAAGCCGATTATTAAATGCTTACCAAACACATGAATCGTTATATAGATTTTTTCGTTACTGTTACACACAGAGCACTTCCACACACAACTACACTACAAAACCTACCTCCCATAGTTTGCCTGGACAATAACCAATTAAAACATTTCTTACGGAAAGTACGTAATGACAAACTATGACAGTATCGCATAGGCGGGGAAGATCATTCTACACCTTGGCAATGGTGTGTTTAAAACAAATTTCCCTGGACGAGATGTTTCATAAGGCGTTCTAGTATATTACTAATAATAATCTCAGTACAGAGTACTAGAAAAACCGACCTCAAAAGTACGTGGAATTACGTCTATTTACTAAGTTTTATTGAAATATCCCCTAGTTTGCCATTATACAGGACTTGACACTGGAGATAATAAAAATAGGTTCTCATTACGATACTACTCAAAGTATATTGAGAGAAAAACGCCTTGAATTGGAGAAATAGCAAAATCAACCATTAAAGTAATTGCTCCTAAATTAAAGTTAGGCGCTATTTACAAAAATGAATCTTCATGCGTGAACAGCCACCCTTCGAGGTGGATGATTTTCTTCAAAATGAAATGGGACCACTATGGAAGTACCTCCATTCCAACAAAAAAGAATCATGAATCGGTTCACGAATACCGGAGTTATCGCGTAACATACATACAAAAAAAAAGAAAAAAAAGAACATACAGTCGAGTTGAGAACCTCCTCCTTTTTTAAAGTCGGTTAAAAAGTAAAATTTGTGACAAATCTGCGAATACCATAATATATGTAGTTGATTTACATACCTCAAACTTGTAGCAGCGCACAGTTTGTATAACAAAACCAACGTTGCAATAATTCCTAGAACTAATGCCGTCACCATCGCAATTTGTGTGCTCGAAACGTAAAATATTTGGTCAATGTTGTCTCTGAAAAATAAAAATAAACAGGTTATACATTATACCTACGTCTACAGATGCTGTTCACAAGTTGTAACTTTAAAAAAACCAGGGTTTACCGCTCTGGTAAAGAACAGAAAACCGTCATGATGGGTTTAAACTGTAATAAAAACAAAAACACCTCGAATTTAGTTACGCGTGTGATGAGTGTGGTTTGTGTGAAAAAAGGGAGTGACAATGGTAACGCCACAACAAATCGCGATGAAGGTAGTAGTCGTCGACAGCGCAAGAGGGTAGACAAGATATGTCTGCTCTTAAAGCTGTCATTTGTCAAACTGTGACCATGGAGCGTTCAATAGTTCCGAAATATCGGGAAAATAAAAAGAAGTCATACTGTGGTAAGAAGCCTGAAATTAGTGATAATCATTTAGTTTCAATCTTTTACACATAATGAAAGAAAAAAGAACTGTCCTAGAAAAGTTCAATTCTTGTATAGTTCTTTATTGAGTTCTTAGGTTTTCGCGATTGTTACACATAGGAAATGAAACTATTTTTCCGGATTTAAATCGCGTATATTTGTTTTTACAAACAAACCGACGTTTCGTCAACACACAGCACAGCACAGTCAACCGTGACCATGGGACCTGTAAAGGGCCCGAAACGTCGGTTTGTTTGAAAAAACAAGTATACGCGATTTAAATCCGGAAAAATAGTTTCATTTCCTATAGTTCTTTATTGTTAATTTCAGAGTGAACTGAGTATATATATTATATATATATAATGTTATTTGAGTATGGTGTTTTGTAATGTGTATTTTTTTGATGAGGCGAAAGATGTGTGTCAGGACCGTAGCAAGTGGAAGACTGGTTGATTGTCTCTGCCTGATAAAACGTGGGCAAGAATAGTTTTTTGCCTATGTTTTTGCCTTGCCTATGTTGTATGTTTACTTTCAATTAGGAGCGATACATAAAAATAAGGTAAATAAATCAATATTTTGTAAGCTCCGACAATTTTGATTGTTGTTTAGTTGGGCAAAAGTTGGGCAGTTGGCTTAAAACAAAAATTCTCTTCATTAGGCTAATGAGTCTAAATAAAAAAATATATTTATCGTTACATATCATAACTACCTACGGATATTTCAATTTAATATTCTTAGCAAAGATTTCATATAATGTCCTAATTTATTATCTCATAATGACGTACCATTTCTTTCTTGTATGGCATCGACAAGTACCTTACGCGGATTGGTGGCAAATCCTTTCAAAACGATGGTAAGAGTTATAGTGCATGCCGTCGATACGATAGGAAGAAGATCTAATAACCTTTCTCTGTAAATGAAACCAAACAGTTTGACCAGAGAACCTTTTTGGGATTTCGAGTAAAAATCAGTTGTTCTTGTTACAAATAGTTAATTTGGTATGAACGCAAACTCCTGACAATAAGTTAAGAGCAATGTTGCATCACTGCAATGTGCTATTGTTCTGAGGAGGCTCTCTCTGTTCCGTCAATTCGTCCTGCTGTGAGTCATAGTTTAATTATTGCTAAATAAATAGATATAAAAGCTTAAGCCTAGTGTTTCATACACAGACATAAATACTAGGTTTCATACTTATTTCAATATTTCCATGTTTCCATAGATTAAATGTTTTTTTCGCAACAACTGAGGAGTCCCCATAGTGAAATCAGCTTACTTTCATATTCTGAACGAGGATGTCAAGTATCGAATCAAATGTATTTATTTCATAGGAAAGCAAATTACACTACAAACCGTCACATTGATTAAACACCATTTCTCATTCGTAAGGCAGATTTCCACGAGAAGAATATGTAGAGATTTTAGGGGTGGCTCTTTCTGAATACATTTGTTCAAATTTATTTTACTCTATGTATTTCAAATATCATTAAATAAAAATACCTACGTATAGATGTTTATCTAGAATTGTGCTAAAATTCTTGATTGAAATATCTGTAGTTTATATACGTAAAACGTTTCTTTTGCTTAGATTTTTAAAAGTATGTCAGCAAGTAAATGAATAAATCATTATAATACATAGTACAAAAATATGTCACGAGTGTGATACGACATAAAAATGAGTACCCCACCATGTGAATAATTTCTACATATGATGAAGCCTACAAAATTCCAAAAAAACGAATCAGAATCCCGTGTGTGAATAAATATATTAGGGCCACATATAAATTTTATATTTGTACTTGTAGTTCGTACGTGTTATTTTTTTGTACAGTATTTTATAAATTCCGACACAGTATTTTTTTTTTTTAAATTAATGCTTAGGTGTTGTCAGATGACTAATAATAATTGCGCAACATTCTGCAGACAAATTTATATAGACAAGAGAATGTATGTTTCCTTATATATAAATAAATATGCATATAGTACGTTCATTAAATTTGAGTTCTATGTATAAGACGTTAGGTTGAATTTCCTTCAAAGTTTTTGACCGTTTGTATATGTAGCTAAAGCGCCCTAACTATCTAAGCGCAATACAGAAGATAAAAGTAAACATATTGTTACTGTACATGTCAATATTAACAATAGTTATGTAACTAACCGACATATGAACTTGCCACGTTTATCATGACAAGCCTGACAAATCCCTTGCCAACAAGAAAGTGTACCATTTTCATAATAGTTGCAGCAGGCACCGAAACATTGTTCACCTTTACCTGAAAGTTGAAAAAATATACTTAAGTAAACATTCCAGCCAAATTTTCAATTTACAATTTCTTAGTTCATCGTCGCTACTGTAATTATAAGTTTATCTTGTTTGTATACGGTTAATATTCGGTTAAGGTAACGTAGTGATACTCTATATTTGAACTATCGAATATTTTTCTTGATTACAAGTGCAAGTGTCAGTATCAGAAATATCTTAACTGTTTAGATACAAGTTAAAAATATTTCATGCCATTTTTTAAAGGGATTCAAGAGGTTACAATGTAAATGTTATAAATGAATTGTTTGAGCTCAAGAAATACGTACTGTACCCTAGCTCTATGAATATTATTTTATCAAATTAAAAACAATGCTTCCACCATGACTTTACCGTGATTCAAGTCGTTTCTTTTAAAACTACCTAAAGCGCTAACGGATAACGTTTCACAAAATGGATCATTGGTCAGATCAGAACGTGTCGATCGAACATTAGCATAATATGTTGTAGCACAGTGTATTCTTCTAAACCATTGTGTGACGACGCGACCTCCTCCATCGTCATCCCGCCTTTTTATTACCTTTGCTCTGGTTCCTGGCCACTTATTTTCAAATTTTGAATCGTTCTTTAATTCCTTTGCCTCGTCATTTTTACTTTGTTTCGTTCCGTCGTCACTCTCTGCTCAATCGCTGAAGCGAGTACTCCTGCTCGTCTAATTTTGATTCTTTTACCAGTTCCCATCCTAAATTTAATACTACTTAAACCTAGTAATATTTGCATAATTCGGCCTTTTCGGACCTTTCTTTTTGCTTAACTTATACAATCAATTCTTGGATCGAGTAATCTGTTATCATTGCTCCCTTTTGGCGGTTTACATCTTTTTCAACTTTTTCTAGTTCAAGCAAAAAATAACGTAAGTTTTTCTTCAATATTTTTAATTTTATTATAACAAATATTTACCTAATGTTTTGTGTACAAATTATAATTTAAGTAGGAGTGGGAAGTATGAATGGGTTGATGACAATGTTGAAATTATAATTGGGTATCTTATCTACATGTCAAAGCTCTAACTAATATTTAGAGTCTGGTAACTGTAGTTGTATCCTATTAAATAAAACAAATAGGTAATAAATAGTGACCGAGTAAAAAACTCCATAAGTTTATATGGCAAATTGTACAGCGTGCGTAGCGTCAGAAGAAGGTTACCGGTAATGTTTGTAATCAAGTATTCTGTACTGTTCAGAAACTCTATTACAAACTTGGTCTATGTATTCTATACAATGTAGGACTATGTTAGGCAATGTTGTTAAATGTAGATGCTCAAAACAATGTGGTCATAGGAAGTGCTGGTGTGGTAAGAAAAAATTTAACTACTTTACACAATGTCTAAAGGAGCCTGGTATTGTATAAAATGGCGAGATATTACACAATCATTGAATTATGATAAAAAAAAAAAATTTATACATTACCGTTGTTAACATATACAAATATTTTACGCGACAGCTGTGTCGGTAAACGCATGTTAGGTACCCAGAACCAATTTAAATTGAGTTATTTTTAATTATCCTGGCAATATTTTTGTTACATGAGTTTCAAAATTAAAAATAAACACAAAGCAGTTTTTCTCCGACAAAAAGCCTGGATCAGTTTACCACTTTGCACGGGGGCTACACCAAGGCTACACCAAACTTTCCGTGAATGTGTGGAAACCTGTTAAAGGATATTCAGGAGATAATAATACGGCAAATGTTTTTTTAGAGAAATATACGTCTACAAATAAACAATCGCACTATTATGTTTTAACAACAACAACTCACATGAGTAAATTTATTAGGTACTCCTAAGCTCCATGCATATCAGAATATACGTAATGTGAAGTCATTAAAACCCAGGCATATTATTCCTATGTCAAATAAATGCCCAGTGTACATAATAATGAAAATAACGCGTTCAAAGAACAATGGCGAACTCCTATATAAAATTTTGTTTACATAATTTGTATGCGTCTGCTTATAAACAATATGTGAAAAGATAGAATTTAATCCACAATAAATTTGGTTTCAGGTTTGCTATTCTGTAAAATCTGGAATTAAAGATATTCAAGTTTGAAACTTTGGAGCTAATATTGTACATAATTGAATAAATATGTATAATACAGTTATAATATTTTCTTTCCATGTTTCTACACATTAGGTGATAACATAATAAAACAAGATCAAGTGGAGTTATATAGTCGTATTATACTGTAGTAAATAATTAACACAATTTAGATGCAAAATTACCTAAGCACATCTTTAAAAGAACTAAATGTGATTCACAACCTTCGCTACTATTGTAAGTAATATGTTTTTTCTTGAGATATATTTTTGAATCTGCTATTTTTTTTACGCGTGGCCCACTGTACGTCTCTCGTTATTTATTCTCAATCATATCAAAAAATAAAATTGTCTATAAACTTAGATAGGTTTATAGATAATTTTAGGTATAAAACTATCTAATATAAACCAATATTAATTATTTTAAAGTAGAAAAAAAAATTCAAGTTTTTTTTCTGCACTCACACACTTGCACGGATATACATATTGTACATACAGAAAGCGCGCACGTGATCACACGCGACACGCACTTACACACACACATACAAGTACTCACGCACATGTATCTATACATAGTCACAGACTATCTTGACTCTACATCTATTGTATTGCTTGTGAGCGTGAATAATATCATTGTTATTATTATTAAATAGATAATAATTATGTACTTGAAACAACGGACTTAATCTCCCAAGGACAGCCAGTATTAGTATGAAACGGGCACGTTCTTTGTATTAAACATTATTACCCATTACACACCGTGTAACAGAAAGGTTCAGCAATATCCCAGCTGGTTATTGTGCTCATGAAAAGAAATAGCTTGCTTGTGCCCAACAAAGATTTTTTCCAATAAAATCGACTTGTTATACGATATTTTTTGTGTAGGGATTACGCGAAAACATTTTTTTAATGCACACATTTTCTTTTTGTTAAATACTTCATTTAAATAGCTTTGTTAGCGTAAGATGGCTGCACCTTTTATTCTATCTCTCATTCTCTTCGTGTTACATTGTTTACTGAAGAAACCTCTCATGCTTGTAGAGTTAAGTAACTGGAATTAGATATTTATGGATGCAGTGTGTGGAATCACAGTCAGTAGACAGATAAAACATATTAGCAGTTTTTTTGATAATCATGAGAATATCCTCGTGGACGAGTAAGGGTCTTGATAGTATATTTGTCGTTTGTATCTGCGGCGTCGTGAATGCGTTTAGAAACACTTACTTGTATTTAAGTATTTTTGATAGTTTTGTAAATGTATATAGAAAATATGATAATGTATACTGGGACAGATAAAATGTATCATAAAAAATTCTATCGTGAAAAATTCGCATAAAGTTGGGTTCGTTTTGATCGAAAATCATGGTTTTAGCGCTGGCATAATTGTACTATATTATTTCACGGAAAACTGACACTGACCACGACTTTACGTACCAGTTTCTTGATTAAGTCATTGAGTTTAATCACGGTATAATCCTTTTATAGCAAAAGTTCCTTAAATGGTGTAAAATTGTTACCTGGCCATTTTTATATCCTCCATGGAAATACCGTTCCCGGAAGAGTGTTATCCTGTGTGTAACTAAACAATATTGGCACTGGGATTATTGGCAAAGAATTTTCGATTCTGACTAAAGTCCTGAAAGTGGATTCTCAAACGCCGTAATAATAGACACCATTGGAAAAATCTTTATGCTTACTAAGTTTGCATGAAGTTCAATGGCTGATACGTTATTTAAAGGTGTACCATTTTATTGGTCCCCCTGCTGGGCATGGGCTTTCTCTTAGGCGAGGCCTAAAGCCGCCAAGCTGGCCCAATGTGGGTTGGGGACTTCACACGTTTTCCGAGGGTTGTGCCTTCTTCGACGTGCAGGTTTCATGGCGATGTTTTCCTTCACCGAAAAGCTCATGGTAATTTGCAAATAAAATTTCGCACATAAATTTCGAAAAGCTCAGAGGTGTGTGTTCGGTTTCGAACCCACGGCCTTTGCTTGAGAGGCGATAGGTCAAATCATAAGGCTACCACGACCTTTGAAAAAAATGTTCTTAATGATAAATGTGTACAAATGTTTATTAACCAAGAACAACTATTCGAATTTCTTATTCAATTTTCTCAGGTGAATTTGCCATACGAATGAATAATTAGAATTTTATCAAATATCATGTGTAAGTTACTAAAACAATGAAATTAAGAAATAAAAACTATTTATAATTTGAATTTAACGAAAATTACTAAGTTTTATCGATATATTGCTTATGCTCTGGAAAATATTTGTAGTGTAAATAAATAAATGTATAATTGTTTATTTCCGTTTTAAGCACGTGTAATGTATGATATATACTTATATATTTGTTATTCCTCTTAGTGGTAGTTTTGACTACATACCAGGACATCTAACGCAGCGGTTTTGAAAATGATTTAGTATGTATCCACTAGAACAATGGCAAAGTCCGTCTATACATTCAGAACCTATGCCAGTACAGTGCATTCCTTCACAGAAATCTGAAAAGAAATACGTACTTGGTCATCTAGTGTAAGCAAACAAATGTATCGCAATTCACGAAGCGCTTAAATAATTGTATTCATGTAAGACGAAATAAATTACCATCGTAGTCCTTAGGTTTTGCCAGCACCAACACAAGTAAGCAACATAATGTTATCCAATAAGTCATATTATTGATTGAATAGACGCACAGGCACTTCTAATCAAAACAAATCATTGTTTTTAGCACAACATTAGCACAGTGCGCGCATTTTTGCCGATCTCCACACGACTTGTTGTTTGTTGGCTATGGTTGATAGTTATCAAAGATCAATCGGCAAGCTGAGATAACTTATCAACACTTTCATACTACGTCATGCACTGTATCACTGCTAATATTATTCGAGGTTTGTTCGCGCCTCATCGACTTATGTAACAACTTGAGTAGATTATTTCCACGTAGAAAATGTTCTAAGACAACGCGACTTCACGCGTCTTGAAAGAGGTAAGCCGGAATTGTAATTATACGGCCATGACGTTGATTCGTTCAAGGTAAAATTATTTTATAGGTACTGCTAATGTTTAACCGATAAGGTTGGAATAACAAATGTGCATTTTCGCAGTTCTTATGTTCGTTTGTTGCGAAATGTCATTACGGCTTTTGTTTCAACTTATCTGTGTTTGTTTTTTTAAGTGCGCTAATTATAATTAGCTACCTAATTGTTTTTCAGCTGTATTAGCTTGCTAAATAGTTATTTAGTCTTTTCTACGAAGTGTTATACTCTCACATTGGTGTGGCAAATGATTATGGAGTGGAATTCCCTGCCTGCAGACTTAATCCCTAAATTATATATAACTTGGGTCTCTTCAAAGCGTGAGTGAATAGGTATTATTTAGGTTTGTATAGTCCATCGTCGACGTCATCGTTATTTTTCTCCTGCTCGTGAGAAGGAAGATAAACGCGCATATTTTTTTTTTAAAACAAAGCCTTTTCGTTTAAGCTGTGTCTTTAAATTGTACTTACAGTTTGTGTGAATGATGCAAAGTCAAAGTCCAATAATGTTTATTTCATAGGTAAGCAAATTACACTTGAAATCGTCATACTGATGAAACTCTACTGCTCTTTCGTAAGGCAGATTCTCCTGAGAAGAATGAGCAAGAAACTAATGGTTGCTCTTTGTAAACAAGCATTTGAATACATTTATCATTACAATATTTAGATCGAGATTACCTCAAGAGCTAAGCGGATCACTACCACGGATTTTTGTCATCCAAATACGCAAAAGCTTTATAATAGACCTTTTTAGTATAAAGTGTTTTTTTCAATATAGTTTCAAATCTCGTAAATGGCAAATTTTGAATATCAATCGGAATCTTAGTATAGAAGCGTAGACAATAGACAATGCATTTGGGACTTTATGAAGACGACTGCCAAGAACAGCTAATTTATTTTTATTCCTCTTATGAATGTTATGTCTGTCACACGGTTCATAAAAAAAATGTTTCTAACATAATTAACATTTTCATAAATGTACTGTGACGTTAGCGTAAGAATGTTAATCTCTTTAAACTTATCTCTCAAAGATACTCTGATTCTAATACTAAGATACTCTGGCCCAGATTGTAATTTGCCCTAACCGTACGTTTCTGCAGGACAAACATTCTATTAATATCGGCGGCATTGCCCTAAAGCAAAATGCCGTATATCATTAAACTGTGAAATGCACAAATCAAACTCGTTATGTTATATATCTTTTTGTTTGTCCTACATACAACCAAAACATAAAGGGCCAAGTTGGGATAGTAGAGAAACAATTTCTTCGCACAAAAAGTTAATTCATGACACTTTTACGGCTCGCCCTACTCCCTGGAGCCTTGGCAAGTTCGCTCAATATGTCTTTGCTACAATTTCCGGTAACATCTTGAAGTTTTACTATAGATATTTTACGAACCCATGATTTTACTGCAAATTGGTAAAATCAAGTCATTGATATCTAAATTTATATCGGCCATATACGAGCACATGTGTTTGATATTCAATTACTTAATAAAAAATAAAAAGCAATGAATTGACATTTTAATACAACATAGCTGAACAATATAATTGAATAAATATACTCGAGCATGTTAATTAAAAGTGGAATAATATGCAGTGAAAATAAAATAGAGGATAGAAAACAAAACGTTTATTCAGCTTATTAAGACTTATACAGAACAAAACAAAGTAATGATTACAAATATCAATTGAAACGGATCCAACAGTAACCTATCACAATCACAATGTCGAAAATTTGTTGTCCGAAAAAAGTTTGTTCGAATTTTCATTACACCGAAAACCGAATTATAACGAAACAGTTGTTCTTTCAGGATATGTTGAATATTTATCGCAAAAACACGATTAGGTTCAGTTACGTTAGGTTAAGTTTGGTTTAAAAGAAAACCTGGGAGGAGTAGCGCCGTTCGCTTGGCTCAGTTGTTGGAGGTCCTGGAAAGCGGTACTCACTTTCTGTGAAACCGTGTTTTTGCAGAAAGAGGCGGCGGAGAGAGACTTTGGGCGCCACCTTCCCCCGTAGGGAGCCACGGCGATGAACGTGGGGATACACGTTCGTCGTCTGCGTGTGGCTCAAGATGGCGTCGCGTGCACCCGCGTGCGCCTCTCAGTAGGCTATGGAGGACGGAATAGCTCCTTTCCTTTCCTTCTTAGCGAGGTGAGCCCGGAAAGGGGTAGGCACCACTGGGTCTTGGAAGAATGCTTCGGCGCCCCCAAGACCCAGCATGTGGTGCTGAGACGGGTGCCGCTGGGTTTTAGTGAGTAGAAATCTCACATAACCTTCCGTCTGGGGATACAGACGGAAGGTATCCATAGTGGATTTCCCCGCGTAAGAAAAAGCTTAAAAGAAAATACGTTTTCCTCTCAAAATTATCTTCGAGGTTATAAAATTTCGACCAAACGTTATTTCTGGAAAATGTCATTTCGGACTACTCAGCATATATCACAACTCGCATGCTGTAATGTTGGTTTTCAGTTGCAACCGCTTTATAAGATGGGATATACGTCCTTTATTCGGCCAATCTATTATTTAACTATTTAATTTAAAATTTATTATTTAACTGATAATCAGTTAAATAAAAGAACCCGAACCTACCGCCTATTAGTCACCGTCCGTCCGTTACGTCAGGTCGCAACGAGCAGCAAGTTACATAAAAGTATGAGAAATATGTCCCATTTATGCAACTTATAAAACCTTGCCAACTTTGACTATAATAATATCGTCTCCATAAAAACTATATACATAAATTTGGTCTTTTTGGTCTTATAATAAAGGTAATGTGTTAATAACACGAAACCTATAAACAAGCTTTGCTTTGAATTAAAGTAACGATTTTTGTTCGACAACTATTGGAAATTCACTCTTTTTTTACTTTCGTTCCACTCGATGAACAGCTGTTGCAGGCAGGGTACGAAAAAGATTAAAGGCGTTTCAACGCGTGCAAATTTTGACACAGGTGCATTTAAATAAAGTCGAATTTACAATGTTCCTCTAAAAACCGGTATCAAAAATATTGACAAAAAGTCGTAAAACAACAGTTGTTTGTTTTAATGATAGTAATGTAGTGTGCAAATACGCATGCTTTCGGGTTAACGTAAATAAAGCTTGAATATTCATTTAAGGTAGATAATGAAAATGAGTTTTTTTAATTAATACCAAGTATCGGGACTAACAAGTCGTGCACGCCTATCCATAACAGTTGCAATGCCACTCAGAGCGTTAAATTGCAAAGATCTTAGGGGCAATACCACTGCGCCCGTCACCGTGAGATATAACTTGACAAGTCCCATGTGCGTGCGAGGAGCCTTCCCGCACGACGTACCATTCCTTTCCTGCACGCCTAATCCTTGCACAACCATTACAGTGTATATCATCGATACGACAACAAGAAGAAGATCCTTCCAAACCGGAACGCAGTATGCTCATATTACTGCTTGGCGGCAGAAATAGGTAAGGTGGCAGTAGGTTTCAAGAGTGCTGGTGAAATTAAAGGCACATAAGACTTCTCAACTTATGTATCAGGGTGACGGGCCCAGTGGCAGTGCCCTTCAGATCTTTACGATTTAAAGCTCTGAGTGGTGCTGCAACTGTTATAGACAGGCGTGTAGCTTACCGTCAGGCGCACGACTTGTTCGTCCCGTCACTTGTTATTATAAAAAAAAGTACTTCCTATTAAAGTTCTATTTCATTAACTTTTTAAATCTTTAGAAAAATGTTACATAAAAAAGTAAATAAGGTACTGAAGATATCAATAATAATAGTTTCTTTCACTAGTGAAGTAGCGGCTCTACGTTATTCTCTCTAAAGCTATGCTTTTGTTGTTGTTTACTTAGGTCAGGCTGACGGATGGACCTATTGGGACTGATGAGTTGTAGGCGCTAAGCTGGCGATTTGCATTAATTCAGGTGCAAACTAGCCATCAGCAAGTACAATTCGTACCTTTGGTATAACAGAGGCAAATATGATCGTATGAAAGCTTTTTTACACGAAACAGTTGTAGTAGTAGCAGTACAGCCCTTGTGCAAGAGTTCGTCCAGGGAAGTAAGTACTGCCACCTTACCTAATTCTGCCGCCAAGCAGTGATGTGAGCATTACTGAGTTCCGGTCTTGAAGGATCTTAACCCTTCAAGACATTCATCAGCCTTAGCTAATTGTATGTTACACCGTGCCGGACCCGGGCCGTGCTCCGGTCGTGCGCCGGCCGTGACACGGTCAAATATCTGTATATGCCTTTGTATGAACTTCATGTTAGACCGGGCCGAGCCCGTGTCACGGCCGAGGCATGGTCGGGGCACGGCTTCGAGTGTTTTTTCCCGTTTCCAATCCGGCCTGATCGCGACACGTCGTAGTTTGAATACATTTGCCGGACACCCGGAGGATAGTCAGTGTTGGACTACTCTGACTCATCATCTATTAAATCTTTGCACCTAGAGCGTGGCAAATGTTACCATCTTCTTTTTCAAGTTTCAATTTGTGTTTCCAATACTTCGTCATTAAGAGCTATTTATCTATATATATACAAGTTGTGAAAATTACGTTAATAGCATATCCTTAACACTCAGAAAAAAAATGGAAAATAACAAAAATAACCCGGCCTGTGCACGGTGGAAACGACACAGCACTATGACTGCCTGGACCCGGCACGGTGTAACGTGAATCTGCCTTAAGGGTGCTGGTGAAATTACAGGCACATGGGACTTGTCAACATATATCCGGTGACACCATACTCAGTGCATCACCTATGTTTGGAGTACCGCACTGTATGTCCACTAATCTCTGTAGATTGCCACGACTGAGACAATAACAAGTCTGTACTTGTTATTGTCTCAGTCCTGGCAATCGTTGCCTTTTCAATTACCACTACGCGACAGTCTATCGGAAACCTTCATTCGCGTCTTTAGAAATAAGATTCAGGGGTGGCTGTCGGAAAAACGACTCTATGGCACCGAATTGTTACCACTGCCATTCACCAGCAATTAAGATGTACAGAATTGCAGAAGCATTACGTAGATA